TTTTTTTATTTCATAGACCGTAAGTATTATATTATAAATAAACTTTTACAAAATAAACTTTATTTACATCATCTAATTAAATAATTTGTTTTTTTATTTCCTTATAATAACCAGCTTGCAAGTATTATATCATAAATCAACTTTTTACAAAATAAACTTAATTAACATCACCTAATTAAATATTTTGTTTTTTTTATTTAATAGACCGTAAGTATTATATTATAAATCAACTTTTACAACACAAAATAAATATCATCTAATTAAATAATTTGTTTTTTTATTCTTAGGGGGTAAGTGTTATATTATAAATCAAACTTTTACAACACAGAATAAATAAACATCATCTAATTAAATAATTTGTTTTATAATAACCAGGGCGTAAGTATTATATTATAAATCAACTTTTACAACACAAAATAAACATCATCTGATTAATTAAATTTTTTTTTTATTTCATAGACCGTAAGTATTATATTATAAATAAACTTTTACAAAATAAACTTTATTTACATCATCTAATAAATAAAATTAATCTTTATAACCAGATTGTAAGTATTTTATTATAAATCAACTTTTTACAAAATAAACTTAATTAGCATCATCTAATAAAATAAGTTTATTTTTTATTTCTTTATAACCAGATAGTAAGTATAATATTATAAATTAATTTTTATAACAATTTTTATAACAATTTTTATAACAACTAAATAAAATTATTTTTTATTGCTTTATAATAACCAGCTGGTAAGTATTATATTGTATTATTATAAATCAACTTTTATAATTTTTGTATCTAATTAATAAGTTTATTTTTATTTATTTATAATAACCAGCTGGTGAGTAGTATATTATAAATTAATACAAAAATAAAATTCATTAAAACATCATCTAATAAATCTTTTTTATAATAACTAGGGAGTATGTATCATATTATAAAATTAACTTTTACAACACAAAATAAATTTTATTAAAACATCAATTAATTAATAAATTTATTTTTCTTTATAATAACATAATAACCAGCAAGTAAGTAGCTTTTACAACACAATAAATTTTTATAACATCATCTAATTAAATATTCTTTATTTCTTCATAATAACCAGCTGGTAAATATTATATTATATTATAAAATAACTTTTACAACACATTGTCTAATTAAATAAATTTATTTTTTGCATTTATAATAACAATTGAAGGTAAAATAATTTATAAATTTATCTTTTTTATAACTTTTAAATGAATGTCTATATAATTCTATTTTATTTTGAATTTTTTATAATGAAATAATAAGATAACACTAAGAGGCTTAAAGAAAGAAAAGAAGAATATGGAACCTGTTCTGTTTGTGCAAGATATAATACTAATTACCAGTGGTGTCAATCATGTGATCCCAAATTGTTAGCTCAAAGTTGGACTAGTAGTGGTAATGACAAATTAGATGAAATAATCAGAAATACACAGCTTGAAGCAAAAGGATTTGATAGTTATCATTATCTTGAATGGATTCCTTATGACCAACTCACAGTTGAAAAAGGAATAGAGAAGGTGGTTTTGCAACTGTGTACAAGTGTTATTGGTCAAATGGTCCTAGATATATTAGTAATAATAAAAGATATTATCGTGATAATGGTGATGTAGCATTAAAAAAATTTAAAAACTCTCAAAATATTTCTGATAAGTTTTTAAAGGAGGTAAATAATTTGAAAATTACAATTAATTAATGGTTTTAAATAATATATTAATTTTTTATTGATTTTCATAAAGCTTAAAAACCACATTAAATTTATAGGACCTTATCACAAGGGTATTGTTAATATTTATGGCATTTCACAAGATCCAAATACAAAAGAATATGTTTTTTTAATGAGATATGCAGCTGAAGGAGATTTTAAAAAATATTTAAAATCAAATTATACAGGATGAAATGATAAAATTAAAAAACTTTATAATATTATCTCAGGTTTAAGCACACTTCATCAAGAAAAACTTATGCATAGTGATTTTCATAGTGGTAATATTTTATATTTTTGATATTTATCTGAGACAATGATTGCAGATTTAGGGTTATCAAGCCCAGCTGATCAAGAAACATCAAGTAAAAATGATATATTTGGAGTACTGCCATATATTGCACCAGAGGTATTAAATAGGAAACCTTATACACAAAAATCTGATATCTATAGCTTTGGGATCTTAATGTCAGAAACATCAACACATCAACAGCCATTCAAAGATCAACCACATGATATAGATCTTGCTTTCAAGATCTGTGGTGGCTTAAGGCCTAGTTTTTCAGATAACACTCCAGAATGTTATATTAAGTTAGCATACAAATGCACAGATGCTGATCCTGAAAAAAGACCAACAGCAAATGAGATTTTAAAAATTATTACTTTTTGGAAAGATGCAACTAATATTTATAAATCTAATTATTCTAATTATTCTGAAGAGCAGCTTGATGAATTAAAAGAAATAAGAAAAATATTTGAGGAAGCAGATAAAAAAGCCTTTAACCCTTCAACAAATATGGCAACTGTTCATCCAAATGCTGTTTATACAAGTAGATTATTGAATTTTACAAATCTTCCTCAACCCATAAACTCCAATAAAGTTACAATTATTAGTAATAATAACAGTAATTATCATCAATTGTTTGATTATTAATTTTAAAATTCAATATCAATACTAACATTAACATTGTTTTTATTATATCATAATTATCATATTTATAGAATCTAATCAAATTGATTTAGATTGTATTAATAATTGTAATTATTTCAATTATTTGATTATTATTTTAAAAATTAAATATCAATATTAATATTATTTTTATTCATAGGTTTTAATCACATGAATTTAAATAGTACTAATAATGGTAATTATTTGATTATTATTTTAAAAATTAAATATCAATATTAATATTATTTTTTTATAGATTCTAATCAAATAAATTTAGATATTTAAATTTATGAATAGCAATAATGTTCACTTGATAATTAATTAAATCTATATTATCTAGAGTTTTGTTTATTGCAAGGTATTACACACTCAGGGTCTCTAAATTTACTTAAACTGAATCATTTATTTTATTTTTGTTGATTTTAAAAATAAAACTTTCATCTATTTCAATATTAATAAAAATTGTCTGGAGTTTTTTTTTTTATTCCAACAAACCAAGTCTAACCAATTTTTCAGCGTTCTTTGATATTTGCGTGATAATTATTGTTTGTTCAATGTTATAACATTGATTTCAAAACTTTTCCTTATTTCTGATCCAACCAGGAATTAAACTTTTCGTTACCTGTCCCTAGATCTTTTGAAACAGCAGCAGTAATTGTGATGATTTTTGATTGGCATTCATTATTACAAGCATGTTATTATCAATTGCTTCCAATAAGATTTGATCAAATCTGATTCCATTACAAAATATATTTTTTTTCCAAGTCTTCTTTGTCTTCAATTTCATCCAATTCCCAATCATCACTTTTCAATATAGGGTTAAGCAATGATTTTTCAATAATTGTTGTCAGTCATCAATCATCATCAGCAGCAATTTTTTAAAAAAGGAATAATTCTGGAATTTTATAAATCGATTCTTAATATAATTATTAAAGCTCTGCATGAGACAGTTTGCAAGGAGCTTTATAATTATAAAATATACTGGATGATGATAGATAATTTGATGAAAGTGTATAAAGATAATAATATCCATTCTCTTCCTTCAATGAATGAATAAGTAGTCTTAAAATTATCAATTAATTCATTAAAACATAATTCATCCATCACAGACTTCATAAATTCGATTATTTCATCATGATCCAGACTATCCTACAACAATTGTACTGTATATGAAAAATAAATATTATAATGATAGTTTAGAATATTGTTTTAAATAGCTTTATTAAATAAATCCTTTCTATAATAAATAATATTTCATCATCATTACAAATTAAATTAAACTTACATTAAGAGGAGGATTTCAAATATTTTCTTTTGCAAAAATATAATGATACCATAATCATTAGATCTTTTTACGATTATTTTGATAACCCTGCTTTAAAATATCATATTAATAATATATTTTAATGGTAAAACATTTTCATTAGGCTGTTTAATATAATCAGAAAAAATTTACACAAAATAAATTTACAAAAAGAATAGGGCTAAAAAAAAGGTTATTATTATTATGGAATATATTGAAACCCCTTCATTATCACAAAAAGAAGCATGGGCAAGGTAATTAAATAGTCAGTTTTCGTTCCTTCTCATCAATTCTTATTTTTTTCTAATATATTAATAAATTTTTGTTGATTGAAAAAAAAGAGAACAAACGGAATTAAAATTAAAATTAATAGAAAAAGATGAATTAAGTTTTAAAAAAGTAACCAATAAACGAAAAAATAATGGTGATGGTGATGGCGAGGATGATGATGAAATTATAGAGTTCCAAGGATTAAAATATATTGGAGGTGTTGATTTAAGTTTTATCAAAGATAGTCAAGAAGATGCTGTTGCTTCATTAGTGATATTAGAATATCCAAGTTTAAATGTATGTATAATATACATACGTATATACGTGTATTTATTTATAGCATCAATAAATTATGTACACATATATTAAATAATTAGGTAATTTATGAAAACTTTTTAAGCGTAAAATTAAAACTTCCGTATATTGCTGGATTTTTGGCATTTCGAGAAGTTGAATCTATTCTAGAATTGCTTAAAACACTTGAAAAATCAAATTCATCTATATATCCACAAGTCATAATCGTTGATGGTAATGGTACACTACATCCAAGGGGGTTTGGTTTGGCATCTCACCTAGGCGTTCTTGCCAACATTCCAACAATTGGAGTTGCCAAAAATTTCTTACAAATCGATGATGGAGAAAATTTAACAATGGTGAACGTAAAAAATATGGCAAAAGAGAAGTTGAGTAAAGGTGGCGATACTTATTTGCTTGAAGGAAATTCCGGGACCATATGGGGTGCTGTAGGTGCAAAATTTAATTAATTGGTTGATTATTATTATTCTTCGATCAAGCTAATCTACTATTTTTAAAAAAGGCACTTAGGAGTCTAGATTCTACTACAAACCCAGTATTTGTTTCTATTGGTCATAGAATAAGTCTTGAAACCGCCATACATTTAGTACTTAAATGTTGCAAGTATCGTGTACCTGAACCTACAAGACAGGCTGATGTACGATCACGTGAATACATCAGAACTCACTTTTTTTGATTCTATAAAACCATCATCCAATACCACCATTACCACATGTTCCATATCACCATCATGAAATATTTCATAAAATAAAGGTAAGCCCATGTATAAATGTTTATACTACTCATTGTTAGTAATAATCTCCTTTCTTTTCTTAACTTCTCGAATGTGGATGATCTTTTAGGGTTCTGGACAATTTGTAATAATATGTTGATTGCTTGATTAATATTAAAAAAAAAGATTTGTAATTTATTTTGAAATAAAAAAATACAAAAATCATAATTATTTGTTATTTTTATTTATCAAATATATCATATATAGCATTATGACTTGCCATTAATAATAATAGTAATAATATTGCTAATGATGATGAATTATAATGAACAATAATTGTAATAATATAATTAATAATAAAGATTAATAATAATAAAAATAAATGTTATTAATGTGATAATTATTATTGTTATAATTATAATCTATATATAATATAATAATATTTTAATAAATATGTTAAAATCTATTAAAGTCTTTATAATTTTTTTAAAAAAAAAAGTGAGAAGAAATAAATTAAATAAAGTAAATAATATGATAAAATTAACAATGATAATGATAATATCAATTCACAATAGTTCGTTTATTCATTCGATAATCCGCTCATTCGTTCATTCATTCATTCATTCTATAATAAATATCTACCAACTGTTCCATTCATCATCCCATTTACCATCTTTCTTGGCATCTGACTTGATTTCATTTCGTCTTCTTGTAGTAGTTGTTGCTGTAGTAGTAGTAGACATATTTCCGTCACCATTAATGACAGTTTTTGGAGAATTACTTCTACTATTAGAATTTCTTTGCTGATAATGATTAATTGTTTCGGTGAAGAAATCATCATTATTACCATAATCACCATTATTTTGATATGATTGATTGAAGTCGGAACTTAGCGTCGGATAATTTGATCTGGCAGATGAAGAATTCGTAGCAGAAATATTAGAGATTGTTGACATTCCACGCGAAGCAGTTTCTGATACCTAAACAATTGAATTAATCGGACCCAATTAAAAAATCACCATGCAATAAAATGGAACAGAGTAAATAATTATAAAGATAAATGGATGTCACATACTGTTTTACTAATTCCTGACACATAGCCAGATATTTGTTGCGTAAATTCAGGATCTCTAACTTTTTCAGTGGTGGGTTTTATCACACGTTCGTTAACTGTTTGACCCAAAGTTTCGGCACCTTGTGCGGCCAATTTAGCACCCTCGACCATTGATTGCCCCAAAAAATTAAGACCTTTGGCGAATACACCGACAGGATCATTCATCAAATCATTTAAATCTGGCACAGTTGAAGATGATGGGTTGGATTGTTCATTTGCAAATGCAGGGTTACCGAATCCAGTATATTTACCGCCTTGATTAGGTGGTAGATACTCGGACCGAGTTTCGTTTGTACGTCCCAAAGTTTCAAAATATGCTTCATTACGTGTTTTGTTGTTATTGTTGCTGCTGCTGCTGTTGTTGCTGTTGCTGTTGCTATTATCATTTATTCCAACGATACCATTTGATTGATATGATTGATATGTTGAAGAACGTGATGACGATGATGTGGTTGGCGATGATTTTTTATTATTTTCATTTGTTGTAGCATTAATGGCAGAGGAAAATTTTGATGATTGAGTTGATGAATTTGAACGATTACTATTGGCTGATGATGGACGACTTGATATTCGAGCAGAAGTTGGTGAGGGCGTCCATTTTTTACCTTCGCATTTTGCAGTTAACTAAATAAATGTACATACAAGTGCGTGTTTAAATGTTTGGAAAAATGATTTAACGTTGGGTAAGAAAATTTGTAAAATTTAAAATATAATTTTTAATAATTATACAAACTTTTTCACGATATTGTGCAGCAAAACTGCTATGATATTTATCTTTTAATGACATCTCTGGATAATAATCTGATGAAGATTCATAAAAATTTCGCCATTCAGTATTACCACCAAGCTATAAATATATAAATATATAAATAAGTTGAATAATCAATTAATTGATAAAATAACAATAGTCTAAATCCAAGAAACCAAATAAAATGTTATCAATTCACTTACTTGCATTTTCTTTATCTGATCATCGTACCATTTGTCCATAGTGATAGAACGAACAAAACTAAATAATCATAATTATAATAACATAAAATTTAATTTTTTTCTTACCATTGTGCTATTACCATTATCACCACCAGTGTTAATTCAAAAAAAAAAAAATAATAATATTCCTCATCTAAAAATATAGAAAAAACATGGATTGAAAGTTTTCTTAAATTACCTAACATGAACTCCGAATGATCGATGGACACCCGAACATTCTAAACAGATAAATATACCAAAAGATACCGAGGCCCATTGTGGATTAGGTGAGCCACAATCTACACAATTCTAAATAGAAATAATAACAATTTAATATAATATAAAGTATATTTATTAAATATTATAACTCATTCATTATTACCTTATTTCCTTCTTGTCTTTGAATATCATATAAAATCTTTTTATATTCAGCAGCCATTGTAATGTAATTCGATTGATAATGAATGAAATGAATGAGAGATGGACGTCGTTTTTTTTTTTTTTTTTGAAAGGTGAATTTTACAATTCTTTGTTTTAAAAATAAATTCAAACTTTGGTGTAACAATTATGTATAAATAGTTGATTGGTTAATAATATTTAACCTGATTAAAAAAAGTAGAACAATGAATTTGTATTGGTATAAAAATGGAATTATAAAACAAGATCTATTTGTTACCTATCCACCACTAACAATTAATATTATTATTCAGTACGCATTCCAAGTCACAGAAAATTGACTCAAATTAAAAATCTTTTATATAAATTTTATTTGATATTGAAGGCCTGATTAATAAATAATAAGAAAAATCTTTATTTTGGTAAATGATAAATGATGCTAATAATCCTTGATTAGTTTCCATCATTGAATAGAGCATTAAGAAATTGTGTGCATTTTATAGAATCAACCTTATACTGTACATTTATAATTTGCCTGAGCTATCTTTATAAGATGCCTTTCCAAAGTTATCATGTCTCTGGTACTAGAAATATTCGACGTCGAGAAAGAACAATAGACATTCTTACAACTAACTGTCTGTGTACCCGAGATTCCGTGTAAATGACATATGGTAAAAGATAGAAGGCCGATGAGAGATTTTGCAGAAATAAATTTTACCATTTTTCAATTGGCACAATCTACTGTATGTCACTGGTTTTCTTCTCCACTTTCCGATGCTTCGGATTAATATCCTTAATCATAATTATATCGGGTTTTGTCCTTGATTTCCAATTAATAATGCAATATTTTGATGTGTGTATGCATATATGATTAATGATTTCATATGAACACACCATTCTTTAATTTTTTTGCTGATAACATTTAAACAAACAAGAATTTTGAAAGAAATATAAATAATAAATAAAATAAATAAGAATTGCAACATTTAATATTAATATTTAGTCAGGAAAATTAATCACAAATAACATTCATCAATGTTAGCAATCTTCTGGTGTAAACAAAACCTAGGTGTACAGTTATTGTAATAGCTGGAGAATTAGTTGGTTAGCGTCCACACATCTGCTGTATATAGGAGAATTATTAAAAGAGCCTGGCCTTATTCCCTCACCAATCTTCATTGCAAGATTAATCAATGATAGTTGACCTGTCGACGCACCACTGACATCAATGTATATGATTCTGTATATTGTGAAATCCAACTTCTCGTGAAAGGTTTTAGAGCGCGTTAAAATGAATGTGCAGTTGGCTTTACATGTGGATAAGTAAACGTTAATGAAAAATGAGTAAATGTCATTTTAATTTTTCAACTATAAAGTAATTTACAATTATTGTAAAGAGCAATAGTTATTATTACGTATGATAAAAGGTTATTTTCTACCTAATTCCTAATTTCGAATCACGTATCACTCACTATTACTATTACTATTACTATGATACGCGTTTGAGATATTTGTTTATTTACAGTGTTTTTGTAAAGCTTTGGATTTTCCATGAGCTTTTTGTAAATTTTCTTTATTAACACTAACACTAATATAAGAATAAACTATGCAACTTCTTATTTATTCGTATTACTTGAATTGCATAATCCAATTCAAAAACGAAAAATTAAAAATATTGCCATGCATATTAACGCTTGCATATCAGTTTTTTTTATAAATATGAATGCACATTTGTTAACGTATAATATAAATAAAGTTGTATATAGCTTATGTATGTTAATAAATTCAACCATCAATTGTATTTAACTGCATTGAAAAAAATGTATCGAGTGTATTTTTTTCTTTATCTTCTTTACCAATAAATTCCTTTATTCGTGAATACCATGTGAAATGTAACCAATGGCAATAATTTGTAAATACTCTCTATTATTACACATTATTTTTGATTTATTATATTAATAAAAATCTAAAATGTGATTATGCTCATTTGGTGATAAGGTTTTGCAACTTCCATAACACCACCAATTACAGAAAAATTATTGTATGTTTAGTATTTTGATTTGTTGGTGTCTTTTTAATAATAGTTAGTCTATGTGTCAACTTTGGCTTTTTATTTCAGAATAATTTGATAGTAAGTATCTTTATCAAAAATGCATTATTGAATTTAAAGTATTTTTCTAGGTTTTTTTATTTAAGATAACTCAGAGTAATCCGCCTGATGAAACTGAGAAAGACAAATCAACAGATGAGGAATTAAAAGTTAAAGAAGAAGAGACTGATGAGCAAGTTGAAATTTATCTTGCAGATGTCATGAAGCAGTTGGAGAAGGAGCCTTTATTTGAGGTATACGGTGTGTCAAAATTTAATTCCAATTCTTCTGCCACATTTTCAATGTTAAACAGGAAAATTCCGTGATTATATTCGATCACAGTCCAAACAAACCGGTCGGCTGATATCAATCAAAGAAAAATCCATTCATCAGCCGTTAAATTTCTCCAATTAAGAATTAAAAAATTTTATAAAAGAACAGTATATTTTTCACATATTTTCAGTACGGAAATGTGCTGAACCTTCCAGCGAAAGTGCACCTTTTATGAAATACACACACTGACAGCATACATACAAATAAATCAAGTATGTCTTTGGGTGTAAAATTATACTTAAAAAAAAAAATTTCATAATAAAATGTTTATTTGGTTCATTAAATTTGTAATAAATAAAATATCTCGTACTTGATAATTATATAAAACCAAACTTGAATACACATCCCACATAATATTAATTATAAATTATCTAATACAGAAATTCAACTGAATATCGTACGTAGAAATATTCCAATGAGTTTACCCAGAAGTTTAAGCAACCCTCCTAACCCAGATATCCCTGCAGCACCAACACTTTGCAACACAGAACAAAGGCCTCCAGCAACAACATATCCACCTTGCGCAGCCATATATGCAGCAGCCCGAGTTCCTTGGATTATTCCATCAGCACCAAAACCTATTGCTCGGATTATTCCGACAAAAATAGTTGGAAAGAGACAAATTAAAATCAATATTCCGATTCCAATAGCAATTTCGATAATGATGCCATAATTTTCTTGGAAAAATTTGATTATAACGTCATAACTGTCTACGAAAAATTTGGCTATAGCATCACCAGCGTCTTTGAAAAATTTGGCTATAGCATCACCATTGTCTTGGAAAAACTTGGTTATAGCATCACCAATGTCTTTGAAAAATTTGGCTATAGCATCACCGATTTCATCAAATATCGTTCTGTCATCGATTGTCGAAAAATCGGTCATGGTCTTGTTGGACATTTCATCAATCTGGTCTGTGTTGTTAACATTTAGCGTGATTTCATTGATGTTTGGATCCTGTACGGAGAATATTGGTGGAGTTTCAATTTTATTCTCATCCAACTGATTTTTGGGTATGGGGGCGCTGACGACAGTTTGACATAATAACAATAATATAATAGCGACAATAAAAATGACTACCGCCTTGTAGGTGCTACAAAATCGAATTTTTTAAAAAAAAATAAAAGCATAAGCGACATATTACGAAAAAGTAAACAAAATTAGTTAGAGCTTACCTTTTATTAGAGTTGTTAATTGTCGCCATTATTATTTTTTTAAAGTTAAATCAATAATATTTTATAAAATTTTTTTTTGTAGAACCTATAAAAAGATACAATGGGCTTTTGGGCGCAGAAAATAACTCCGAAAATGGAAAATTGATCTTTGTATTAGCAACCTTCGGAGTTGTCCTTTTTATTTCCTGCGCCTATTTGATTTGATTGATTACCGATTTTATTATTCCCAAGAGATGTTATTATCTGTTATTATTATTTCTCGAAAACGCTTTTATCATATAGTAGTATTAATATTAATATTTATTTGGGAGAAAACCAAAAAACCATTTTTTTCATGAATACAAATTATAATCCTTCAACCAAAAATGGAGAAGCTTTTGACGAAGCTGATAACAACAATAATATAATTACGAAATAGCAATCATGCATTAAATACGTGTTTATACTATTTATCTTAATTTGCAGGATCAGTATCTTACTCATACAAACCTTTCTAGAATGGATAGATAGATAATCTACACATTTATATGCAATATAATAAATCTCTCTTTATTATGTTTTATTATGTCTTCAAAACCATACCAAATGTTTAAGGGTAGAGCGATCCAAAATATTTTTTGAGAGTAACATCACGTTTTATTTCACTTTGAAGGTTAATAAAATAAAAAACTTACAAATAAGATTTATAAATATATATATTTAAAGGTTTTCTTTTCATTTCAGCACCAACAAACCAACATTAATTATGTAGGTTACTGAGAAAACTCTTTTAAAAATAATATCACATGCAAATTAGTAGGTAGAACTTGTAAGTGAATGGGTTAACAACACAAATGATATATGTTTTTACTAATTACTTAGTTTTTTTAATAGAATTACAACAAAGTCAAGCACATGAAGGGTAGTATGGTGTAATGTAGTGTTTAAATATTAATATATAGTTCACTTTCTATAATGGTTTATGAAAAAATGTCCATTAGAGACAGTAATGTTTTATATATAGAACATATAAATCAAGCTTAAATTCTCATTCTATTATTATTGTTGTTGTAGAAAGAGTAAACTAGTTACTATTTTTTTCTGACACATTTCAAAATTTCGAGTAGTTAAGTTTATATACCACAAGAGTTGAAACTCCAATATGTCCTTTATATTAATGCTAACAGTCATGAAGTACTTGAACAACTTTTAAATTGCAAAATAAAATCATGTAATGCAAAATTTTTTTAGTCATTTTGTATAACAGATTTTTAAAATTGCAAGATAAAATCGTGTAACGTAAAATTGTTTTTAGTCATCTTGTATAACAAATTTTTGTTATTATTATGGTCAATCAATCTACTCTTCTTAATAATGAATTTTCTTTACAAAATAATTTATAAAAAAAAAAAAAGAACCAAAGAAACAAACTAAGAATGGCTGATGAAAATTCATATTTATTGCCAAGAACCTTACCAGACTTGATAGAAGAAAATGAGTTTAATGAAAATGATGAGGTATTTTAATAAAATCTCACAAGTTGCTTTTGGAATTATGTATATTTGTAAATTAAAATGCATCCAATACTAATAATCTTATACTGTGCTTCTCTCCCATGTATTTCAACTGTTCATTTTGATTTAACATAAACCAGATGTAGAAGGTGGTGATCATTATTGTATGAGATTGTTGAAGAAAATGATGCTAAACAATGGAATCACCACCAAAAAGCATAATCACTCAGTTTGATTGAAGATTTTCTCAATATAATCAACACTTGGTAGATTCTGAATAAAGATGGCACCTCAATTAGTTGCAACTAATTGCAGCATATAAAAATTGAATTGTGGTTGCTCATCCGGAAAATATAAAAAAATTTTACATGTGTCAATTGTAAGTTTAATAATAAAGTGTAAAACTTATGTCGGCACTGTAAGATTTACACAATATTATGTCGGCATCGTAAGATTTATGCAAGTTTACGCTAAATTAATTTCCTGATGAATTGTTCCTTGGGAATTCTTGAAGAGCAACTACATTTACAACCTCTTTCTAAAAAATCAGTTGCTTTTTGATATTCATTAGAACCATTATACTTATTATTACTTTTCATATACACTTATCCCTATATATACAATTTTATGTTCACTTTGTGGGTTTTTATGATGAAGCAAATGTTTTAAAAGAAAAATTGAGCCTAATTGTCCTATCACCAGCAATCAATATAAGAACAAGCAAATGGTGATTTTATTTCATTAAATAATAACAAGCAAAAAATAAAATATTCCCATATTTGTGTACTATTATTGTTTGCATTTATTTTATTTCATCATAATGATTAATAAAAGGTTATCTTTGTCAGTAAAGTTTTTGTGGATTGTTATTCCATTGCAAAACTATAAAAAATCAACTCCATTTTGAATTATGTAACAGGAAAGCCAATAAAGAAAAGGATAAAAAAATGTAAATGTTCAAATAATTATCACAAATTATTTAACATTTTTTTTTTTAATGAACAAATAATTTTATTATCTTTATTTCATTTAAATTTTTGGTCTTTAAATAAGAAAATTAAAAATACAAATTATAATCATAATTCTAATAATAAATAAATTAATAACACAATATTCATATTGTATGGGAACTTATAGACTTCCTGGAAAGTACAATCATAATTTAAAGATAACTTCCTTAGATATAATTAAATATAATAACAACAATAATAATATGATTATACTCCACCAATACAAGATAATCATATGAATAATAACACTATTATTGATAACAATAAAAAATAACTTCTATAATTCTTTGAAGAAAATGCAATTAATTCCAATTGTCAAATCAATAATATCTAGATTACCAAATATGGTAATAAAAATTAATTGCCAATTTCAACTAGATTTTTTGATAATTTCAGGGATTGTTATAAAAAAGGTGTTAGTGATAATGATAATGAAAAGATTTAGTATTCTCATAAAAGGCTTCTCTAGTGGTTTTTTGATCTTTTAATCTTTAATATATAAATTAATTAAATCATCATGTGTTTTCTTTTAGTTGAACCAAAATAAACAAACATTACTTATCTTTTTAATCCTTTCCTTAAACATGAATGATATCTTTTGTCTCCACTGTTGTATATATGTGTCTGTTACAACATTCATAATATTATCCTTTAATTTGCAAAAGAGTAATAAATTGCATCACCCAAGTAATAAATAATACCAAAGCCATGCAAAAATGAATTTTTTAATAATGCATGTCTACCCAGATCTCTGGGTTCACAAGAATAAATAAATAGGGAGGAACAAAAAAATATTTCCCTTCCCATTGTATAGTTTCTTATGAATAATAAATCTGATGTTGTTCACAGGTGTCAGATTTAATTAAAATTTCCTATCACAAACATTGCAAGCGTTGTGCAAAGCACCCTCCTGTACTGTGGAATTTTTTCCATGAGTGAGAGCAACTTGGACATGTTGGAAGGCTTTGGACAAAACATTTCCTTATCTTCCTCTCAGACCAGGCTTGGCTGTTATCATATGAGGCATCAATCACTGATAGCTGGTGCTTGTGTGATGATTGCTTTATATTACCCCTCTCTAGAATAAAGTTAATGTCTGCAACTGATTGAAAATTCAGCAACTTGGAAGTTGCAATCTGGGTTGCTGTCTTGTGCTTGCCAACATCCTTGCCCCTATTCAAAAAACAAATTAAAGAAAAACAGAGCATTTAGGAAAATGATTATATAAAACAAACACTATTTTACAACTTTCCTCTTAACAACAAAGCCAAATGCAATTTCAGGGCCACCAACCCTGTTCTGAATTGCAACCTCCTGTGCTTGGAACAAGTTGCAGATTCTCGTTGCTTTGATGGACCTGGATATTTACATGGCACTACAATTCATCAACAGAGTTGCGATATGGTCACAGAGCCATCCTTACCCTAGAGGCAGGATCATTGCAGGCAAATCTTTGGCTAGCATGCCAGCAGCCTTCTCTGGTGAGGGAAGATTAGTGAAAAGTGTCATTTACAATGATACAGTCTTGGTAAACTTCAGATCCACGCGCCTTCTGGAATTCAATTGCATCATCATATCTTTGGGTCGCCAGGTCAAGATTAGCCTTGTGAACACGAGGAACGTGAGAGAATGACTGTAAAGTTCAAGGTAGCGTGTGTGTTTTAACATCTGTAAATTTCCAATAATCAAACATTGCATATTTGAATTGTTTCTTTTTCAACAATGTGCTGCCTTGACATCTTGTAATTACCCAGAAATGATCTGCTCCTGCATTTTGATTTCAATTAAAATATTTATAAACACCAAAATAAAAATATCAATCAATACAAGTAAAAAAAAGTACCTCTGGTCAGTTATTAACATGTTACTTTAGGAGACCCAAACCAAACCATAAACCAAACTACAACACTCGTGTTTTGTCACCTTGGACTCTGCCAAAAAATAAATTGTTTTCTATTTTTCCAAAAAAAAAAAAAAAAAATCAATTCGCGTCTGTCCTACCAAAAAAAAAACCAATAGTAATAGGATAAATAATCAATGTGTACACGTCGATCAAATAACAAACTTCTTTTTTTTCTTAGATTTCAAAATGCCCAAGGAACCTAACAAAAGAAGTACCAAAAATAATTGGGAAGAAGTAGCTCGGTAAGTGTTTTAAGGATGGTGGTGGTTATCGCCCGCCACTCGTCGTTACTCTAGTTTTTTTTTAAGGGCAGTAGTGGTTGCATTCAGCCGTTGTTGTCTCTACTTTAATAACTTATGCTTGTATTTTTTTAGAGGATCTGTAGCTTCTCCGCCGACCATAGCATCTCCATCTTTAAGTGTAAATGACGGTAAGAATTTCTTGGTTTCCCTGAATCGGTGGAGGAAATAATGCATATTGATTTTTATAACAAGATTATTAAATTTATAATGATTATTCTAAAAAGAGGACTCTTCTTCTCCGATGATAATGATGCTGAGAAAGAGAAACACGATATGTTATAAGGAAGAACAGTTTTTGTCAGCAACAGACTCGTCATACATTCCGTCTTCACGTAATTCGATGGTTTCCGAAGATTATATGAGGAAAGCTTATTATATGGAGTATTTTGTCAGACCTGGTGTTATCAATTGGATGCTAAAAGAAGACTCAATGAGAGTAATATATCACAGCATATGTGTCTTATTATTATTATTATTATTTTGTTTGACCATCTCTTCTTTCAAACAGTGGGTCGAAAACAATATTGACATTTCTACTATCTGTCAAGAGTATCGTGCTATGGTTATTAAAAAATGTGAATCGAAAACAATTACCATTACTGCAAATGAGGAGCTGTTCGTATTACATCTTTAAAATATTGACAACATTGAAGAAAACTAACTGTTTTTTTGCTTTTGTAGAGTGTTGAGTCATATTTTCCTGTTTCAAGAAGAACACCCAGAAGGACTTCAAGAATATTTCGATGATGAACTCTGGTCAAGTGTTTTTGTAAAGATAAGGGAACAATATTCATCCAAGCCAATTCCTGAAACAGTGTACGAAATATTCACAAAAGTTATTAAGGTACTTATAAGACAATAAATAATGCTCTATACACATGGAACTTTGAATGTACTCTTTTTCATTGTTTTTATATATGATTTGTCATATTGTATTTTCAGCTTTCTTGTGAGTATGGAAACCCGCAAGAGCGTCAAACAAAAATAGAAGCATATCTAAAAGGGCTTGAGACCACTGATAAACTTGAAAAGACAATGTACAACATTCTTTGGAATCTGTATGTTCTTATTAAATGTGTATGTGTTTATGTGGACTTGAGAATCACATTAACTAAATATGATTATTGTGCATTACACAGTGCTGTTGATGATCGACAATCTTCCTTCAAAGGAAATTATGCAGAGGACACATTTACTCACAGTATTGTCAGCCCGATTATTAAACCATTTTTTACTAATAAAAACACTATAATCGAATGGTATGTATTGTATTGAAATTCACTATATGTAAAATCAATGAATAATATTTCTATTATTTCTATTATTATTTATAGGTCAAGTAAGACGTCTAACTCATCAATGTGGTCAAAAAAACAGTTTGATCCAACCTTCCATGGTACAAAGCCAGATCTTATAATCAGAACAAATCTAAATGATTATATTGAACTGATGTTTGGTGAAATCAAGCCACCAAATACAAAAGAGGACTTAATAAATGAAGATTTGGTATATCTTGGGAAAACGATGAAGGCTGCCCTTGATAAAGCCATTGAAGATGGGCTTGAAGATATTGTTATCTGTGGCATACAAGTAGCTGGTGAGTAATAT